TGACAGACTTGGCCCCGCCCACTTCATTGCAGGCCTGCATCATTAGATGTTAGTCATGCTGTGTGTAACAGTTGTGTTACTGTCAGTGTTTAATGTGACTTTTTAAAGCTCATATCAGGTCTGTAGAGGTCCTGTTTTCATGACACAGCATGACTCAGCTTGTTGTGGACCGGTCTGTAGCTGAGAGGTCAGTCACACGGTCTCACAATCCTGAGGCCACAGGTTTGAAGCCCAGCATCMGGTCTGGAACAGTTATTAAGTCTTAGGTGTGAATTCCCTCAGTGCGGCGCCCTTCAGAGGGAAACAGCCTTTTAGCTGCTTAAACAGCTAAAATCTGCAGGAGACTAAAAATGTCTGGATGGTGCAAACTGCTGATTCAGCAAATTAAAAAGCCACAGTTTGTGTGGAATCTAATTTATTTTATTTCTGTCTCCATTCTCAGAGTCTTTTTAAAATAAATTCTGTTTATTTTATGAAATCGGACGGTTTCAGTAAAGAACAGGTCCAGGACCTGAACAGGCTGCTGGACTCTCCTCCCTGCAGGATGGGCTGACCGAGGACCAGCTCAGCGCCACAGCTGATTGGCCGATCAGCAGTCATGTGATTTATGGTTTAATGGCCCTGCTGTCGTCCTAAATGTGTGTGTTTTATGTGAGAGCTGTCATGCATCATAGATGCACCCCTCCCCCCACTGGAGCTCAGCCTGCACTCTCCTCCTCCTCCCCCTCTCCCTCCTCTCACTCCTCCTCCCCCTCTCCCTCCTCTCCCTCTCCCTCCTCCTCCTCCTCCTCCCCCTCTGAAGCTCCTTTGCTTCCTCAAAGCAGCCAGCTCCTCCAGCCAATCAGAGAGCAGCTGCTTATTATCAGGTAACAGTTTTGGGTCTGAATCAAGAGTCTGGGTCAGACTGATGGGAGATGATGATGTCATGATGTGATGTCATGTTGTGATGTCACACTGTGTTGTCAGGGCAACAAGCCTTCCTTCATGTTAGACTGTTTCTGTTGGTTTTTAGTTTGCTTCAATAGTTTTGTGACAAAGTTTCAGGTTTAAGGTCATTATTTAGTTGTGTGTGTGTGTGTGTGTGTGTGTGTGTGTGTGTGTGTGTGTGTGTGTTAGCCAATAAACCAATAAAAGCCTGACTTGATTAATTAAATCTTTGCTCCTCGTTACAAACCGACTCGTTTAAATGGTTCTCCCAGCAGCTCTGTGAAGATTTACTTCCAGAGGAGACCTCAGGGTTCTGGACCGGTCCTGGTGGTCTCAGATCCTTTAGTGATTCTGGTTTTGTGGTTGTCTTGAGGGGGAAACCCAGTTTGTGTTCAGTGAAACAAACCTCAGAAGCTGTGGATGAGGGGTTCTTGTGGGTCTGGTCAGGGGTTCTGTGGTACCAGATCAGTCCTTTTGGTTCTGAGTCGTGGGCTGCAGCGATGTTTTCAGGGTTAGATTAAATGTGGGATTATTACTGGTTGTTTTAGCTCTCTTTACTCAGATTTGTACAGGAGCCTATTGCACMAATCCAGGATAAGGGATTAACCCAGGATTTATTTGTAAACCTGAATTAATTAAGCCTTGAATCAGTTCCATGACAGAGGAAGCTCTTATGTTTCTGTGTAACAAGTGATCTGAAACTAACCTGATCAGGTTTAAAGTGAAGATTATTTAATCTTCTACAGTAGAGTCATTTTACTGCAGTAAACTGTTCCTCTAACCAAGTTTTACTGTCTGATATCAGATAAAAACTGTTTTGATCTTGTTTTTAGACCCATATACTAAACAAGATCAGAATATGTTGGATTACTAATCTTGTTAATCTGAAAAGTTCTTTATTTCAACAAGTCTTACCAAGTGCAACTGCAGATTATTAATTACTGTTCATTAGAAAAGATTCAGAGTATAATCTAGTATTTTAAACTTATTTTTAGAAGCCTAATGTTTGCAGTGTGGGATCAGAAATCAGTGTTTCTGACAGTTACTACATTTATTCTGTTTTTACATTAAAATATTACAGAGGAAATATATTGATTTAATTTATTTATCAGATTATCTGTGAAAAAGCTTCACCTTTACACTAGTGTCAGAGCCTGACATGTCATTATTCCAAGTTCCCCCTTCTGCTGCTGCACCCCCCGAACTGTCTGGAGCCCCCCCATCAGCGCTCAGCTCTGCCAGACCTCCCCCCAATTATTGTCCCGTTTCATACAGCCATCATTTTAAGGCAAAGAGTTCAACTGTTTGAGTTCATTTAGTTAATCTCAGATAATTTGCAGACAGATTAAAGCAGTTTTTATTTCTGAAATGATGACAGCATCAGTCGGTGTTTCTCTTCAGATGAATCATAATTAACCATTAACCTGCTGGAGGAAGTCAGACTCACCTGTCTTACTGCACATGTCTGATCAGGTAATCTGTCATCCACCCAGTGGGTCCAGTAAACAAACTGTGAACGTGCATTAATCCCAGATTATTTACAGCTGGTTTGAATGAGCGCAGCTTGGTGTTTGAGCAACAGATTACAGCTGTTTACAGGTTGAAGGTTCAAGCTCAGYTTACAGCTCAGATCCTGGATTTATTAATCTGACTTTGTGAAATGAGCTCTTGGTCTGGATTTGTTTGGATGGTTTTAGATGTTTGTTTGTTTCAGAAACAGTGACTCAGCAGTTTTCAGGTTCTTCTGAAACATAAACAAGAAAAACTTTCTTACTGTATTTTCTGCATGTTTGTCTTCATCCTGATCAAGTCGACGTTAAACTTTAATCCTGAGCTCAAACTGGTTTTAACTGAGATTTCTTCTGTGTTCTCATTGGTCAATGGGGACGGTCCCGCCTCCTGGAGGTGCATTATGGGTATTATAGCCTTACTGAAGGAGCAGGTGGATGAAGTTTGAAATAAACTCTTTTTTTCACTATCATAAAAGAAAAACTTAAACTCAGCAATTTCCATCCATCCATCTATTACCTGTTTCTTCCTTCAGGGTCACTGGTGTCCATGTCCAGCAGTCACAGTGTGAGGGGCGGGGTCCACCCTGGACAGGTCTCAGTCCAGCAGGGACACACAACCATTCWGTCTCACTCACACCTAGGGACAATTTAGAGTTATCAATCAACCTAACAGTCATGTTGTTGGTCTGTGGGAGGAAGCTGGAGAAAACCCACACATGCACAGAGAGAACATGCAAACTCTACCCAGAAAGGGCCACAGGCTGGGATTTGAACCGGTGACCTTCTTGCTGAAAGGCTTCAGGTCTACCAACTGAACCACCGTGCCGCCCTGATTCTTGAATTTGACGAGTTAAAAATGTTTTTGGAGAAAACTAAAATATGAAAAGACGTTAATTTGTACTGTTCAGTCTAGTGTTCTGTATAAAATCAGGTGACAGAAGCAGCCGTGCACTTCCTGTCTGCAGCCCCGCCCACCACCACCTGATTGAAGGTCACTGAAGACCCTGCTGCATCCTGGGAAAWGGACTTGATTACCCAGAATGCTGATGTCAGATCAGTTTCAGGAAAAACCATCATGAGTTCAGATTAGGAATATATTTAAAAACAGCTCTTCCTCCTCCTCCTCTTCCTCAGCCTCTGTTCATTACAGAAGCCTTAGAGCTCCTCCTCTTTTATTTTCTTTATCCGTCTCCTTTGTCCCCCCGGCAGAAACAACTCTGATTATTTAGATACAAAGAAGTCGAGAAAGAGGACAAGTTGTGTGTGTGTGTGTGTGTGTGTGTGTGTGT